TTTTCAAGTTATAAACTTCTTCATTCATTTCTTCTCTTTCAAATCTTCGACTCCACCTAATTGAGCTTCAATCAAATGATCACAATGAATCGTGGAAGGAACAGCAACCTTTGGCAGACCTGAAGAGATGAATTGCAACATAGCCATTTGTGCAGTAGCATCTTGCATTGCAACACGATCAGGCCTCAACTTTAAGTAAGAGACACCACGCTCAATATCTTGATTAACAGGATCATCCAAGTGAGAATAAAGCACTTTTTCTGTCAATGACAATGGCTTTCCTATTCTGTCATTAATAATTTTGATACGCTTTTCAAGGATTTCGTATGGCAAGAGCTTGGTACCAAACTTGCTCATAGCTACTTTGTTTGCGGCATATACGTGTGGTGATGAGGGGAAGCGTGTTGGCTGAATTCCACCAGTTTTCACTTTAGTCCACGCTGGGATCTTGGACATAATCATTTTTAATGCTCTGATGTATGCCATAGTGTCTAATCTGTTTGTCTGCTGAACTGAATACTGATGATGAACTGAAAACGGATATTAGTCTTTGAGTCGAAGATACGATAGAACGCGATCACAGTGTAATGACTTTTAAATAAATCAATAATATTAATAAATAATAATACTTACTGATATTCCAGTTTAGTTAAAACGGTTTTTGATAAATTGGTGATTTGACTATAGCGGTTTAACAGTTGTTTTTATAAAGTAAAATTATTTAAATCTTTATATTTGTACGAGAGAATAACTGACCGCTATGAAGTCAAAAGTTGTACTGCAAAAAAATTATTTTCTCGCAAATATTCAAAGGTATAAACAATTCTTTAAATATTTCCTAGACGACGAGGAAACTGCAATATGTGTTTCGTAACCCTATTGTTTTTTTCCAAGGAGAATATATATTAAATATACGTATATATCTACTTCATGTGCAATTTTCTTTGTCTTTAATTTTTTACACATTTTATACACTTATTACATCTCAATAGAACGGTTATAAAAATGTATTGAAATATAATATACATTTATATTTTTTAGTAATTGTTTGACTAATATTGAAATTTATTTTATTTTATTGCCAAGTTTGTATAAAAAAATCAATACATCGCGTCATGTAGTTATGCAATTATCTCCTTAAGTGTAATAAGTATTTAAAATTCTTGACATTTTTTCATTTAATGCTTTTAATAATTAGGTCACGTCAAAGCTTAAATATAAAAGCTTATGAGAAAGTTTTATAAAATTGCATAGATATTATTTATATGTTGATGGTTTTTTGTAAAAAAAAAAAATACATCACGGACGATGTAAATATAGTTTATAATAGTTCATGATATAACAAGATTACTTAAATTTAGTAAAATTATTTTGAGAATTAAATAATGTTAAAAAAAAAATAGTACGGGTAAATACGAAAGTCTTAATTTTTTTTAAAGATAATTTAATTCTCAAAATAATTTTACTAACTTTAAGCCATTTTTCATTTTAACACTAGGCCTGCAATGTTCATAAAAGTAAATTTCTTTATTTTGTTATAACTTAAAAATGAGTTAATATAGAACTTAAGAATTAATAATATATACAGTAATAATAATATTATGTCATAATTTAGAGGAATAATCAAATAAATTTAGGTATACGCCATCGTGTAAAATAGTTTATTTTATTCTATTACGATGTTAAATATTATGGACGTATTAATCTAAATTAAAGAATATTACCTAATAAAAACGTGACTCTCGTTACAGGGATACAGAGTTACTCACTATATGTGTTTCCTTCGTCAATAACGTAAAACTTCTAGTTATCACATTCACATATATCAATCTTAAAAAATAGCTTGTAATGTCAATTTATAATTATACTTTAGAAGCCAATAAGCAATTATATTTTGACATACATATAACATACTGACATTTATGTATAAATTAAAGTCTTATAATTATTATCCGGAAGTAGATGGTCGAATATTATATTCCCGTCTCATATGTAGATTCAGGTTGTGTTTCATAACTTCACACGAAGAGACATCCTGTATATATTGTTATAAATTATACGAATACTTATTCAAATTTGCACAATAGTCGCGGAAGAAAAGAGTATACAAATATTAAGCTAGTGTACTTGTGTGTCTGTGCGCGTTAAAAATAATAAAAAAAAAAACATTTTTGGGATTGATGGATTTAAATGTTGAAAACAGATTTAATTAAGTCATCGTGTTAACTAGGGAATTACTAAAGCAATTTTATATATTTTAATCAATCAATAAGATATTGACAATTTATGTATTTTATGTATTTAAGTACGCCATTAATTTTTGTAATAATGAAAATTTCTTCGATCATGCTTTAGTAAAGATGTTAAAAATTATCAATTTGTTTTAAAAATTAAAATCCATCAAACCCAAGTCTCACAGTTTTGTCTAGGTTATGGCCTGTTTTACGTGATTTTTTGCATCGTCTACAGTCCCTTTAATGTGTTATGCAAATTTCATTCAAACGCCCAGGAGAATTTTTAGAACTCTAAAATAATTTTCCTCCTATTATTAATTATTATTTATTATTAATTATCCTAGATTGAATAGAAAACGCCATGCTAACACTATTGTTTAATGGATATTATTTTATTCGTAGTTCAATCAAATTGGAGTATATAAATCTTTCGATAAATGCCTATACGCATATAGTACGCATATCGTGTACATATAGAAATGTAAAACTTTAACATAGTAATTATTTTAAACATAATGTTAATAATACTTTGGAACTCATATTATACTTTGTACAACGATACCTAACAATATTTTACAAAGTATATAGCATAAAAGGTATTGAATTAAATTCACTTAAATAATAGTGAATCATGCCTTTGAAAAAACAAAACTCTTTCAGGATAAATATATTAAAATATAAAGAATAATTCTAATGAAGACCTCGCAGTTAAATTATCATATTATTACTGTAAAAACCCAAAAACTTTTTCGAAAATATAATATATATATCACTATATTATATATATACTTATATAATATTATATAACTTGGTGTAATTTTTATCATTTAAATTAAAAAATGCAAAATTTACATTTTTACAACTATTTCCAATAACGTATATAATAAACAAATTATATTTTAAATGCGTCTTAGAATACATTTTCAATAAACAATTAAATAATTTAATGAGTAATTTCTATCGTACAAATGTATAACTGTGGAGTGCTTAATTGTTTTCAGTAATCTAACACCAAATCACTACAGGTCCGTCACGATAGCACTGCCACTTTCAAATTTTAATATCAAACCTTTACAGTATTATGTACTTTTTTTATACAATTTTGTATAAGTAAAACAAAATTTAGTACATCCTTCTCCCTACAAACCCGACCAAACTCGTATTTCCAATGCGCGTGCTAAAGTGATTTAAATAGGTACAACGCATAACACCGGGATTGTAAAACGTCCAATTACCAGTACGCTGACACCCACAAGTTTAAAATTCAACTCAAAAACCTAATCAGTAAATTTTATAAAATTCATACAAATTTATAATCACAATTCCAAAATTATATCATCAGAATTAAAATTTGATAAAATTGTTGTTATTTTGTATCATTTGAATAAAAAAAAAAATTAAAAATAAAAACTAAAATGTTTATTTTTTAACTTTGAGGCTCATGAGGGCATACACAGAAGATTTTTTTAATTAGTACCATATAAAAATGACTGCGGTTGATGAGCTAGTACGTGAATTTAAATTAGATACATATATTATATATATATATATATATTATATATTATTATGTACATACAAAATACATTTTTTTTACGATTTTTGTTTAAATAAATGATTACTCCGCCTTGGTATTAAAATATACATTTATCCATAATTACATGAAATTATAATAATAATTTGTTTAATGTAAAATTGTCTATTAAACACTATTTTAAGTATAGTCAATCAACCTGAAGAATAATAATTATCTGCTAAATAAGATATTGACTTATTAATCTAACAAATTTTGAAAATAAATTTGTACAAAGATAAAATGTATGGAGCTATAAAAATTAAGAATAATTTTTGTAGATAATATTACTGTAAAAGTAATTTTTTAAATGTAAACATTATCATTCAATTTCTTTTACAAAAGATATTAAATATAAATATAAATGTTGTGCATTTTTACTAACACATAGATTATATAACTGTGCAAAGTTATGTTACTGTTATATAAAAAAAACATTCATTAGGAACTCTGAAACGTTTCTGTGGAACTTCCATAGCAGTTACTAAAACATGGCAGAAACGCTTTATGCCGTGTTTCTTGAGACTAAATTGTATACAATACTGAACTATTATATAGAAATGTTCCATAAATATTTTTCTGAAACATTTCAATAGAGTTAATAAAAAACATTCCTAACATAATCACATTAAACATTACATTAATGTTGGTAACTCCAACACTATCCTTACTGGGACCCTCCCCCCCCAAAAAAAAAAAAAAAATCCAGTAAAACATAAAAATTATTTTAAAATTATTTAACTCATTAGTCATTGCCTTTTCAATCAAATATTTTCTATGCACACGCCGCTGAGTGATAATGCTGAAACTGATTTAATTTTCTTTTACTATAGTTGAGGATACTTCAACTGATTCTACTATATTACCATAGTCCACTCAACAAAAATATAATATAGGTAATAAAATAAAGTTGAAACAAAACAGGTAAATAATTGTCATACGTTATATATTTATTTGTATAAGTCAAAAATACATTATACATGATTACAATTAAACATTAAATATAATTAAAACAAAATTGTGCAAGATATACAAAAAAACACATAAAAGTACATTATAACAGAATTATTATATACAAATATTTCTATTTTAACCAACTTATTTGAAACATACAATAAATTTAGTTTAAATATATTATTAAAACGTGTAAAATGTAATAGAACTAAAAATGTAACATTTAATGTATCAGACACTGTGACATAATGAAATAATAACAGCTTGGTTATGAAGGAGTTGAGAAAAAAACATTTGAATTTCACATCACTTAAAAGGATTTGATAAGGGTTTGACACATGATTATTATTTACTAAATAAATTCCAATATTCATACTATGTATTGGTTCTGAAAATAAATTTTCTACTGTTAGTATTTTAATGACTGAAAGTTTTATTATATTATCAATTTTTGAATTTATTTTATAAATACTTTTAATAAAAACAATATCATTATTTTTTAAAATGATACATTTATCTTTGGAATTGCTACAGCTCAAAACAAAATTATTAGATTTGAGATTTATTTGATTATAATGAATAAAACTAAAATTTGAAATTTTTTCATTAATTTTAAATGACTTTAATATATTATTATTATCAGTAGAAATATTTAATAGTTCTTCTTTTTCAGATGCAATAATTTTATTTTTTATTTCTGAAAGGGGGTATTTACAACATTTCATAGATTTTTTCAGAAATTGGAGGTAATTTTCATACTTAAATGCACTAAAATT